GTGAAAAATATGTTCCCTCTTAATTATTTATATAAAAATGTATGTATACATTTCTTATACAATCTTATGTGACTTAAGTACTCTTTTTCTTCTAATTTTTTCCAGCAAATGTATTTATGTAATAGCTAGGTAAGCAAGTGTAGAGATAGTAAGTAGGATAAGACTTTAAGCCGTTTCATATCTGAGCAGATCTACGCAGAAAGCTTGTTGAGTGGTTCGTATTTCAAATCTACTTCTGAGCTGTCCGACGCAGCCTATACAGATAACAATCTAAATAAAGAATTGCAGATAAAGTTTCCGGTGGTAATAACAATAACAGTAAAATCGGCAGGCACCAACAGCAGCGGTGTAAAGTTACGTAAAGCGTGGTCGTCATGGTATACGACAGTTGAAACCCTGCGAGTGGTATTTTCTACTACAAGAATAAACACTGAGTGTTTATTGCGATTTACATTTCCTTTAATTTTTTTTTTTCTAATAATAGATTGCCGATTGTGAATAGGCACTTACATTTTAATTATGACGAATTCTCATACCACATATAAGTATTTGGTGTCGAACGCTTATCCTTTGTAGAAAATACTTTACATATGTCAATAAGGAATACGTCTTTCATCGTAACTTAACCTAAATGGATTAAACGACAACATCTTGGATTTCGAAAATTCCATCTTCTAATCGTTTGGTACAAAGTACTTTGCATATTCTAACAAGAAAATCCTCTCCCACCATTATCTAGCCTAAAAGGATTAAAAGACAACATACTGGATGTCGAAAGTTCGATCCCTTAATCCTTTGATACATCGTATTACACATATTCCAATGAGAAAATCCTCTCCCATCCTTATCTAACCTCAGCAACAACATCTTGGATTTCGAAAGTTCCATCATTTAATCCTTTGATACATNTGTTTTTCTCTTTTGATTACAGAACCGTGAAATAGAAATAACCAAATACACTGAAAGTCCAGAAAAAAGAGGACCTAGTTTAGAACCATTTGAAAAACTGAGCAAGCCGGTAAGTTTAAATAAATTTATCTTTCCATTGCCCTAACTTTAGTTAACTAATCGGTATGTTTGAAACAATAGAAAATTTGTTTTCTTTCCTGGTTCGTCTATATACTTTAATTAAGGAAAAACGTCGGCGCTGTTAGTCGTCCTTTGTGGAGTGCAGAGGCATGCAGAGGCGTTCATAAATTCTCATATCGGTTTAATTGGTTTTAGTGTTGGGAAGTGGCGCTGGCTACAACCCGTAATTTTCGGGAAATTGATAATCTATAAAAGCTAATTTACGAGCACAATAACGGTTAATGTAGACAGTGCAGTGTGGTATTCAGTTCATGTAATACTTTATAACTTAACGTCTTTGCGAAACTAGCCTATCAAATGCAGTCAATTATATAAATGAGAAAGGAGAAACTCATTCCTGTTCTGCATCTATAGTAATTCGGAAATGTATTCGAATACAACTATTGAATTTTGTGGTAAACGAAAGGGTCAATTAAACCATATTAATACTATATGAACCATTTTGACATTTAATAGGGGTTGATATTATTAATGAAAATTCAAATTTATTTTTAATTTTTCCCCATTACAAATTATCTCATATTAAAGGAAAATTGTTGCTGTTGTCACACCCTCACCGAGAATCGAACCCGGGAC